AAGGTAGTTTCAAGTACCTTGGATCGGTTATTCAGGGGATCGGGGAGATTGACGAGGATGTCACATACCGTATAGGGGTGGGGTGGATGAAGTGGAGGTTAGCGTCGGGAGTCTTGTGTGACAAGAAAGTGCCACCGTTACTAAAAGGTAAGTTTTATAGAGCAGTGGTTAGGCCTGCCATGTTGTATGGAACTGAATGTTGGCCGATAAAGAACTCACACACCCAGAAGATAAAAGTAGCAGAGATGAGGATGTTGAGGTGGATGTGCGGGCATNAGCCTCTCTACCCTTCGGGGTAGGGGTAAGGTCTGCGTACATATTACCCTCCCCAGACCCCACTTGTGGGATTATACTGGGTCGTTGTTGTTGTTGTTGTACTCGGTGCTGCATCCAAAAGAAGGCATCATTTTCTCGTTAAAGTTGATATTCCATCCGTTTTAAAAAAGAAAAATTGGCATCCTATAACAACACATAACAAAAATTGACAATTTTTTAGCCTTATATTAGATTTGGCAAAGATAGCCCCAAACAATTGGCATTATATAGCCAAATCTAAAAAAACTACTCTCTTTTATATTCTCTCCCAAAAAAACTACACGCTTATTTTGGCTTTCCTCCCCTTTCTCTCCTTGTATTTCTTTTTCTATCTCAAAGAGGAGGGGAGAGAATTTTGGATTTTTTTAATTTTTCCTTTTATCCACACCAATTGCATCGTCAAATCAGCATCCACAACCACCGATGCCTTGCCGACGTCGTCCAATTAATTTCCGCCGCAACCAAAGAAGATCAACCTACAAGATGTGAACTCTACGAGATTCATAGGTTTTTGAGGAAATTTCGGATACTTCTCAAACTTAAGAGAAATACATGAGGGCAATTAATCATGTTATTGAAATGGACGGTGATTCATTCAGCATAGATGCACACCTAAACGAGGCTATATACAAAATTTGAGCAAGATTAGCAAAAACTAAAAGAGAAAAAATATATTTCAATTTTGTTTTTCTCTCTCTTCCTCTTTTTTGGTTGGATTGAATGAGTGGATCTGATTGAAATTGGTTGAAAATACCTAAACGAGGCTATATACAAATTTTGAGCAATATTAGAAGTGATTTAGACTGGTTTCAAGCAAAAAATCAGACCTAAAAATCTAACTACGACATGTGTATATCATGTTGTATATCGTGTATATCAGTGTATATCACACGCAAGTTTTTATGGACGTCTGTGTATATCACTTTATATATCATGTATACAATATAATTTATTTATGGACGCCCATGTATATCACATTGTATATCGTATATATAATACAAAGTTTCATGAATATACACATACTATACATGAGATATTACTAATGTACATAGAGATGTACACGGGTTACAATAGGGGATACACACATGGAGTCATCTTGAACTTGAGTTTTCAATCTTAAATGTGTAATACAAATAACGAAAATAAAATTTTAATAATTTTTTTGATATACGCATTATTATTATGTTATACACTGTGATATACAAATAATATAATTATTAATTATTGATCAAAAAGGGAAAATTGATTTTTGATATAGCATGTTTAAGCAAGTTCTAAGATATAAAAATAATAAATATAACTTTGGGAGTAAATAATATTTTGGTATATAAAAAAAATAATTTTTGATATACACAAAGAAGAAAAATAAAATTATGATCTATTTTGGTATACACATGTCTGATGTTCTAGACATTGTGATATACAAATAATATAATATTTTTATTGTGATATACATTGATATAAAGGCATCAATAACTATATATATAATTTTATATTATTGATATACAAAGAATAATATTATTTATACACAAAGAATAAAAATAAAATTTTAATATACATGTTGATATAGACAAAGAAGAAAAAAAGAGTTGTAATATACATATTATTATTCTGATATACGTTTATTGGCTATTTGATGCCAATATCTATAACTGGGGTTATTTTCTACCAATTATATGAGTATGTTGTTATACCATGCCAAAACCCCCTATTTTTTAGTCAGTTTCAAAAAGAATGATTCATTATTAAATTTTTAAGGAATGTAACTTTAAACTTATATTTTTGCCCTTAACGATATAATTTATAGCCACTGATATTAGGCTATATAGATGATATTTACACCTTAATATTACCATGCTTTATTGTTGTTTTACAGGTAAATTGATAACAAAATGATCTAAATGGTGTTCTTTTGCTTCGCAGGGAATATTCTAAGTGAGGAAGCACTACAGAGTGTTTTGGAGGCAATAATGTGAAGAAAACGCCCAATCAAGAAGACCCGAGCACAAAGAAGCAAAAAATGGACTGAGTGAATTCCACCACGACCGCGGTGGAACTGCGGCAGACCAAGTGTTCGAGGCAGAATGTTCAGCGTTCACCGCGGTCGAACCGTGGTCTTGCCGCGACCGCGGTGAACTGTTCACGTGCCAGAAATTTGAGGACCAAAGTGTAATTCGGGGAAAACTTGTTCCAAACCCTTATAAACTTAAGAAGTTTGCCCAAGACATGGGGAAGCTTGTTTTTAGACAACTTTGGAGGCAAGAACAAGTGGAAGAAGATCAACCAAATATTAGAGTTTTTCTATCTCCTTTTATTTTCGTGCAATTACTCATTATGAATAATTTAGTAGTTTTATCATGAGTAGCTAATTTCCTAGTCTAGGATTTTGATGGAACCTATTGAAGGACGAACTTCTTGTTATGTTAATATAGTTTGCCCGGTTTAATCTCTATTTGTTCAACTATGTGCTTGTTGTAGTTAATTGACAGGATCCTCAATTGGCTGTGCCTATTTAGTGGGCATAGCTTAGGAGAGAGTGTATATTTAGGCAATTGTTGAACAACACCACTCCCAAAGCATATGAGGGATCAATAACTGAGGGTTTAAAGGCGGGATTAGGGATAAGGAAGCCTTGGGTGTAATCTAAAGTGAACTGTAATAAATAAAGCCAGCTAGCATAACTCGGGAGAGTGCATTTAGTAAATTATCGTGATTACTCGGGAGAAATTTACGGTAATAAGAGTGCTCATGATTGATAGAGACGATTATTGGGTAAATCTATATGAAACATAACCGGAAGGGATTCCATCAACAGAGGAAATCATAACCTTGGAACCTTCTCTTAATTGGTTACAACTCAATCATAGTTAGTTTTCAGTTGCTTATTTGCATTCATTCGTAGTTAGTAGAAATACCCTCAACTGTTATTTACAACGTTTGGGAGGTTGATTCCGTGGAATTTAGTAAGTCTAACGAGAGTAATTGATAGGTTAATTCCTTGTGGGTTCGCTCTGGGCTAATTACTCAGATTATATTTGCAACGTCCGCGTGTCCTTTTTATAAGGCATAGTTGGGCGTGATCAAATTTTGGTGTCGTTGCCGGGGAATTAACGGTGTTATCAAATACAATTGAAAGAAGTACAAAAATTCTTAGTGTAGTCAGTTTTCTCTATACCCAATCTTTACATTGAAATTTTAACGTTTGTTGACTTGGTTGTATAGGTGCATGCCTAGAAACTCATCGAGAACTGGTGAAGTATTTGAAGCATTATCAGATCCCGAGAGAGTTTTCAAGGCCTTGAATCGGGCCAACCGGAAAATCTGTCACAACCCACAGCTGAAAATCTGGCCACAGCGATTTTAGTCCCGCAGATATAGGCTGAATCATTCCAAATCACGGACAACATGCTGTACTTGTTGCAAAACAAGGGACTATTTTCGGGGACACAAGTCGAAGATCCTCAACAACACTTGAAGAATTTCCCGTCAATCTGCAAAACCCAAAGGCAATCCAACGTAACTCCGGAAGCAATCAAGCTGTTATTGTTTCCATTCTCAGTGATAGGAGCTGCCCAGTCCTGGCTAAACTCACTCCCCATTAATTTGATAACAACTTGGGAAGAGTTAGTCAAGCAATTCGTTAACAAGTTCCACCCACCCAACAAGACTGCTCAACAAATTGATGAAATTTTGAGTTTCAAACAGAGACCAATGGAGACACTGCATCAAACATGCGAATGATTCAAAGGGATGCTAGTTATACGTCCGCACCATGGTATTCCAGATCTAATGTTGGGACAATGATTTTACATGGGATTGTTAGATAGCGTGAAGAACATTGTTGATGCTTCAACTGGTGGAGCATTTTTGAGCAAAACATGGAGAGAAGGCCAGAGTCTTCTTGACAAGATGGCACAGAATTCGGGATGGACAACCAGGAATACACCGATCACTCTAGTGGTTCACTCAGTGCCCTTAGATCTATCCAACTCTATGGCTAAAAATATGGCCACCTTATTGACATAGATGAGTATCCTCACCAAAAAAGTGGAAGAGTCGGGCAGAAGCAGCAGGTACACATCATAAATACTACTAATGAGGGCTTGTGCACATCTTGCATTAGTCAGCCAATTGGTAACCAGTGGAATGCAGAACGTGATCTTCATCACAACCCTGAAGACATGAACTATGTGTCTAATTATGGAGGCCAGAGATAGGGTGGTCAGAATTGGGGCCAGTCCAGCCATAGTTCAACAATGGGAACATGGGAGGCATGAGACACTCTAACAATATGGCACCTTACCCAAGGCCACAGGGATATAACAATCAAAATCAGCAGCATGGGTATCACCTTCCTCAGCAGCAGCATGGTGGACGGCAGGAAGATAGGTTTGCTAGACTTGAGGCAATGATGTAGCAGGTTATTGGGTCTAATGCAAAAATTAGTGAAAGAGTAGATACTCATGATTCAACTATCAAGAATATTGAAGTGTAGATGGGCCAAATTTCTTATGTCTCTAAATAATCGTCCTCATGGGATATTACCTGCAGACACTCAAATAAACCCAAAAGATCAAGGCTCGAAGCAGCTGATGGCAGTGAGTCTACGGAATGGCAAAGATTTAGACGTGGAGCAAGAGAGGGCTTGAGAAAGCAAACAAGCTGAGACACTCATACCAGTGCCCATGGAGCTAGATGAGTCAATGAGACTGACAGAGGTGACAGTCCACCCTGCCCAGGAAGAACATAATATTCAGATTGAGACTGAGAAAGAAGCTGAGATAACCCAAGAACAAGTAGTTGAGGTGGCAGCTGATAAAGAGCAATCCCAAATCATTGGGAAGAAAAGACCTCCCGCACCATCCCTCAGAGGTTGGCCAAGTACCAAAAAGAGGAGCAATACAAGAAATTCTTGGAGATGCTGAAACAAATCCAAGTAAATATCCTATTGATAGATGCTTTGAAAGAGATGCTTGGGTATGCAAAAATAATGAATGACTTGATGTACCGAAAATTCGATTTTCAAGACCTGGCCACAATGACTCTTACTCAGACCTGCAGTGCGGTGGTGACTAGACCAATTGCTGAGAAGCTGTCTGATTCAGGGAGTTTCATAATTCTTTGCACCATTGGTAATTTTGCTTTTGCTAAGGCACTTTGTGATCTAGGATCTAGCATAAATCTTATGACCCTGGCGATTTATAAGAGGCTAGGGATTGGAAGAGCTAGACCCACTTCTATGTTATTACAGCTGGCTGATAGGACTATGAAAAGACCCTCTAGTATCCTGGATGATGTGTTGATTCTGGTAAGGAAATTTGTGTTCCCTACAGATTCTATGATCTTAGACTGCAAGGTGGATGAAGAATTCCCATAATCTTGGGAAGGCCGTTCTTAGCCACTAGGAGAGCTCTCATTGATTGTGAAACTGGGGAGCTCAATATGAGATTGAACGATGAAGAAATAACATTCAATGTACAAAAATATATGAGACGACCAAGTGAATTCGCCAATTGCTCTCTTATTGATACCGTGGATGTAATTGTAAAAACTGATGATGAGATGCTGACTATTGAGGACCCTCTTGTTGTATGTCTGATGAATTTAGATGAGGTGAATGGAGAAGAACTGGCAAATGGGTGTTGGCATTAGAGGGCAGAGGGTTCTGGTATAGAACTCTTGAATTTGAGCCCTTGCACTTAGAAAATAGAGAAACTCCTCCAGCCAAGCCATCCATCGAAGAACCACCAAAGCTGGAATTGAAGCCACTGCCCGCCCATCTCAGGTATGAGTTCCTTGGATCTGACTCCACATTACCTGTTATTATCTCATCTAGTTTGTTAGATGTACATGCATAACAACTTTTGCAAGTACTTAAAGAGTGTAAGACTGTCATTAGGTGGACCATGACAGACATTAAAATTCTGCTAGAAGCAACCTTTTGAACTCATGTGTGACGCTAGTGCTGGAAGAGGGACACAAACCATCTAGGGAACACCAAAGAAGGCTGAACCCAAACATGAAGGAAACGGTGAAGAAAGAAGTGATAAAGTGGTTAGAGGCGGGAATCATTTTCCCAATCTCTGACAGCAGCTGGGTTAGCCCAGTGCAATGTGTGCCTAAGAAGGGTGGCATAACGGTGATCAAAAACGATAACAATGAACTAATTTCAACAAGAACCGTTACGGGCTGGAGAATTTGCATGGACTACAGAAAGTTAAATTTGGCCACCCAGAAAGACCACTTTCCACTTCCCTTCATTGATCAGATGTTAGATAGATTGGCAGAGAGGTTACACTTCTGTTTTCTGGATGGGTACTCAGGGTACAATCAGATCTCCATTGCACCGCAGGACAGAGAGAAGACCTCCTTCACTTGCCCATATGGCATTTTATGCCTTTCGGAGGATGCCCTTCGGCCTATGCAATGCACCCACCACATTACAAAGGTGCATGATGGCCATATTCACTGACATGGTAAAGGACATAATGGAGGTATTCATGGATGATTTCTCAGTGGTGGGGAACTCATTTGATGAGTGCCTTATAAATCTGACTCGTGTGCTGAAGTGGTATATTGAGACTAACCTGATTCTTAATTGGGAGAAGTGCCATTTCATGGTACAAGAGGGCATAGTCTTGGGGCACCGGGTGTCCAGTAAAGGAATTGAGGTGGATCGCGGGAAAGTTGACGTGATAGCAAAGCTGCCACCTCCAACTTCAGTCAAGGCAATCAGGAGCTTCCTCGGGCATACCGGTTTCTACCGGATATTCATAAAAGACTTCTCAAAAATTGCCAACCCTCTCTGTAAGTTGTTAGAAAAAGATCACCCTTTCTTGTTTTCTGATGATTGCAGGGTAGCATTTGAGGAGTTGAAAAAGAGGCTAGTCACAACACCCATCATTGTTGCCCCCGACTGGGAGCAACCTTTTGAACTCATATGTGACGCTAGTGACTACGCAATGGGAGCAGTGCTGGGATATCGAAAGGACAAGCTAATGCATCCAATCTACTATGCCAGTCGAACGCTGAGTGGAGCCCAGTTGAACTACACTATGATTGAGAAGGAGATGTTGACTGTGGTGTTTGCTTTCAACAAATTCAGATCGTACCTAATTGGTTCTAAGGTAATTGTATACACTGATCATGCAGCGCTCAGATACTTGATTAAGAAGAAGGAGTCTAAGCCGCGCCTAATTTGTTGGGTGCTGCTACTGCAAGAATTCGACCTCGAAATTCATGACCATAAGGGCACAGAAAACCAAGTCCCTGACCATCTATCACGACTTGAGGGAGCTGAAAAATTAGTTGAGTTTGAGGATATTCTGGAAACCTTTCCAGACGAGCAGATGCTCGCTACTAGTCTTGAGGAAGTTCCATGGTATTTAGACTTTGCAAATTACCTGGCCAGCAGTATAGTTCCCTATGACCTTTCCTCTGTACAAAAGAAAAAGTTTTACCGTGACTGCCGCATGTTTTATTGGGATGAACCTTACCTGTTTCGAATATGTGTTGACAATATGATCCGGAGGTGCGTCCCCGAGATAGAACAATCTTCTATTTTGTAGGCATGTCATGCATCGGCGTATAAAAGGCATTTTGGAGGAGTCAGGACAGCTGCGAAAGTGCTAGAGGCTGGTTTCTTTTGGCCAACAGTGTTTAAAAATACGCACCAATGGGTGAAGGGCTGTAATGAATGTCAGCAAACCAGGAACATTTCCCGTCGCCATAAGATGCCCATGAACCCGATTCAAGAGGTGGAAGTGTTTGATGTCTGGGGGATTGACTTCATAGGACCCTTCGTCAGCTTCTTTGGCAATAAGTACATACTTTTTACTGTGGATTACGTGTCCAAATGGGTAGAATCTACATCGTTGCCAACTAATGATTCAAGAGTGGTGATGGGGTTTTTGAAGAAGAACATATTCACCCGTTTTGGGACCCCGAGAGCGATTATCAGTGACGGAGGCACTCACTTCTGTAATAAAGCTTTCAAGAAGTTGCTAGCAAAGTATGATATATGCCACAAGGTGGCAACCCCTTATCACCCGCAGACCAGTGGACATGTGGAAGTGTCTAATAGAGAGATAAAGAGTGTATTGACAAAGACTGTAAACGCCACAAGAACTGATTGGGCAGAAAAGCTAGATGATGCACTCTAGGCTTATAGAACTGCTTTTAAAATACCAATTGGTATGTCACCATATAAGTTGGTGTTCAGGAAGGCTTGCCACTTGCCAGTGGAACTTGAACATAAAGCTTGGTGGGCACTAAAACAGCTGAACCTAGACATTGAGGCTGCGGGCACAACTAGAATCACTGAATTGCATGAGCTTGACGAGTTCTGACATTTTGCTTTTGAGAGCACAAGGTTGTACAAGGAAAGAATGAAGAGGTTGCATGACCAGAACATTGTTGAGCGATATTTCAAACCCAGGGACATGTTACTTCTCTATAATTCAAGATTAAGGCTATTCCTAGGTAAGCTTAAGTCACGATGGTCTGATCCGTTTTGAGTGGTTGAAGTATTCCCTTCAGGGGATGTAGAGATTGCCTCAGAGAAGGACTCTCACACATTTAGAGTAAATGGGCAGTATTGAAGCTATATATAGGCATGAAATAACCAAAGGAAGTGTCAGAGATCCACCTGACGGAACCTCAGATATCGAGCGAGCCTTAAATATGCTTGTCTGCATCGTGTCGCGACGTTAAATCAGGCGCTGCATGGGAGGCAACCCACGAACATTGTTGTTAGTGTTTTCTTACGTAACTTCCTATGAAGAAAAAAAATTGGGCAGCACCGCGGTAAGACCGTGGTGAGAGGCGAGTATTCTGCCTTGCGTCGCACAACCCACCGCAACCGTAGTGGGACCGCGGTAGAACTGCGGTGAGACATAAGTTTTCTTCTTCGAAAATTTTATTCCACCGTGGTCGACCGCGGTGGATTCTAGGTTCGGTTATTTTATTTTATTTTTCGTTCTTTTCCTCTTCTTCTATTTTTACCCCTAATCAACACCCCCTTTAATAAAACAAAAGAAAACACCCGCCCCATACCCCTCAATCTCAATCTCTCTCTCTCTCTCTAAACCCTAACTCCCCAAATTCCCTCTCTTCTCCTCCTTCTTCTTTACTCACACTACTCCCCCATCTCTATTCCTCTCACTCCTTCCTCCATCAAGGTATGCAACTCACCTACCCCTATCTTTTCTTTTTGTGTTTTGTGTAGTTGTATGATTTTTAGTCATTGTGTAGTGATTTTTAATTGTGTAGTAATTTTTAGTAGATTTTTGTTAGTTTTCTTCTTGTTTTCTTTGGAAATTCGTTTTTAGACTTATTGGTGAAGGGGCTGTGTGTATAATGTGGTGGTAAGGTAGAGGTTTATGGGTGATTGCACTAATTGTGTGAGGTGTAATGGTGTAGTCGAATTGGTGATTTGGGGGAAACGTTGATGTATTTTATCCATATGGGCTATGTGTATGAAGAAATTGTCTTGCCCACAAGGTGTTTGGGAAATTGCCCCAATGGAGTTATAAGGGCTAATGTGACATGGTTGTGGTGAAGTCTGAGTATCCACCCATAGTCACACATTTCACACACTCACCGATAGGCGTTTCTCTGTTTGACAGGTATAATGAATCCATCTAGGAAGAGACACAACACTGGGTCCTCCGCTAGTGGACCGGGAAGCTCCTCGAGAGCTAGGGGCAGGCCAGTGCGCCATAGTTTGACAGCACTAGGTTTGTCTCTAAACCGGCGGAGGACAGGTACAATGCAAAAGCAGCTAAGAAATTGCTACATGAGGTGCATATTGACCGATAGGCCTTAGAGGTGGAATGCCCGAATATCTTCAATGAATTGAGGAGTTGTCAGCTGGACATCTTCTTCGAGGTACCGGAGGAGGCCAATGTTCAGATGGTCAGGGAGTTCTATGCTAACTGCTCGGAGCATGAGAATGGGGTTGTTACTGTGCGCAATACCCGGGTAAATGCATTCCTCGAGACCATCCGCAGGGTATACCAGCTACTAGTGTTCAGGGGAGAAGCTGATGCGTATCGTACTTTTAGCCGAACAAGTGCCTTGTGGGGAACTCTTTTTGAAACTATCTGTGCCAGATAGAGAATACATATGGATAAAGCCCAGGATCACACTTAACTCCCAATCTCTCAATTGGGAGGCTAAGTGTTGGCTAACTATTATCAATAGTGGGTTGTTGCCCTCCAACAACACGACTGATGTCAATCTACTATGGGCGTCAGCGATCTACTGTTTCATGTCTCACAGGGATTTTGATGTGGCCCAACTACTCCATGACGAGATGCTCATTAGATCACCTGAGTTACTCAAAGGCTTATGCTTCCCCTTGTCTAGTCACCAGGT